GACAAGATGCTCATATATTTTGGTTGATGTATTTGAATTTTGATGGATTTAGAGGTTGCCGTGGAAATCATTTGGTATCACTTTGATGTCTAACCTCAAGAGCAATACCGAATGATAGATTCCTATTTGAAAGACTGGTTGCAATCAATGATCTAGAAATAAGAACTGGGTGGATTTGATACCAATCTTCTTCAAAGCTAAATCCCCCACTTTGGGACCGACCTCAAAAAAAATAAAAATGTCCAATTTCACACTCTATGCACTTGAAAAAGTATCATCCAAAATTTAATTGGGCGAGTCCAATCTCTGTAAGGCGTGATCTAAGTGTCGAAAAACTCAAAATTCATTTCGATGATTCTTAAGTAGATCCTAAAATTTCAAATTAGAAAAATCCTCCGAAGTAACTCTTTTGCCCGAGGGATTAAATAAACAACATGCTCCCGCTGGATAAACCGTTTTACTTTTTATAATTTGGGTCGTTTCAAGTGGCAGAACTAGAATTCGGATATGTTTATAGGCAGTTTGGATCATGTTACATGCAAAACCGGGCTTTGCATATCCAGGATACCATTTAATGAAAAAATCGATCATTGAAATATTCTGGTTGAAAAAGCTTGCTTAAAATACCGGAATAGTGTTCATAGTCCTTGGACCAGTTTCGAGCACAAGGTTTCGCTTTTAAATTTCTCAAACAATTAAAATGCGGCCACAAATGGGGGTCGATGAATCCCACGTGTTATGCATGATTTTTCAAATCCACGTAGACATTACATCCTCTCATTGATTTTTTTATTTCGGATTTGTTCGAGAAGGAATCTTCCTTTCATTTCAAAGCAGGCGAATCAAATCATATTCAATTTTCTTTAGAGTAATAATACTATAAGACTCTTTTCAATTCAAATGTGTAATGCCTCAAAGGATCACCATTAAAGTTGGCACATATCTCTATAAAACTTATTATATAGGTGTAGGACTTGATTTTTTTAATATATCCGTGTCAAATTTAATGATGATCATTTGATGTATTACACACATAAATGGAGGAGAGTCTTATATGATCATTTCTCTTTTCTTTATTATTATTACTACTACCACTATTTATTAATATTTTACTATTATTATTATGGATGAAGATTCTATAAGGCTTAGGCGTAATAAAAATAGAATAAAACCTCACCTCAAATCCTCGTCTAGAAAGCATTATTGACAACATAAATCTTCATGATGGTTCTAAAATCAATTTCCAACATTGAATAAAATTTAAAACTAAATAACTATATTGATCTTGCAAAGTTTATGAACACTTATTGATGGCTCTAATTAGACGGTCTAGATAATTTGCTATAATATACAATATTTTTAGAGTTTGAAACCTTTTTTGTTTTTTACAACCATAATGTTCAATCCGAGATGATCAATGTCAGGTTTTTCAATGTTTAAATTACAATTTTTTATAACTAAGGCATGTACATGATTTTCAGAGCTATTATTATTATTATTGTTGTTTGAATTTTGGTGCTTGTACATGATATTCAGAGCTCCAGTGACAAGCAGTGTGTCGTTTTTGAAAACATGTACATTTCTTTTGGGGATGTAGACTTGTAAGGTGGTGAGTAGCTTTGTTTGATTTACCAACAAGCAAGATAGCCTTAGATGGTAAAATATGCCAAAAGATTTTATGCACCCATGGTAGCATATTGTGCATTTAGTGCCTTGCGTAATACCCAATCTTTACGACATCAAATTTTGGGATTTGTAACCTCATCAACTTGGTGACAAAACTAATTCTATTCAAAACAAACTATATATCAATGGTTTAAGCCCGGTGATTCCTGATCAAGATTCGTGGTTCCAGGATAGAAAATGATTTGATAGGGGTGCAACCCTATCAAAATAAATAAAGCTGCACCTCAAAAATAACCGAATATTGTAATTGTGGCATTTTTTAATCCATCATCTTGGCCTTGACCATTATGGTTGTGAAAAATAACTTAGGATTTCATGTCCTAAAAATAGTATTTGTTATATAACATATGATCTAGACCATCAATTTCACTCTAAAAATAAGTATTCGAAGATTTGTAAGATCTATACCCTTTGTTTTAGCTTCAACTCTCATATTCGGTGTTAGAAATTGATTAGAGCCATCATGAATGTTTCATACGCTTGAAATGCTTTATGGATGAAGGTTTGAGACGAGGCTTTACTTTGTTTTCATAATGATCAGGACTTGTAGAAATTGCATCCTATATCCTATATATATTTATTATTTTTTCTTTTAGCTTATCGATTGTTTTCTCAAATCCACTGTATTCCTACTATATAAATGCATATTTTAATTTAATTTATTTATTTTTAATATTTTATGGATCACCAATTTGATCCTTTCGAGCCTGAGATGTGGATTTATGGGGTGAATGGGTCACCCGACCGATCTAGGTTTATATTTATCCAATAAAAAAAAAATGTATCGAGGTTGAATGTAGATGGCCTTGGCTGTCGTATATAAGTACTTAGAAACTCAAAATTTTTTCTTCTTGAAATTACTTATAATAAGGTGGATGACTGAGACAATTAAGGGCAACAGCGGGCAGGGAAAACTGGCCGATTCAATCATTGTGGCCCTAAATAGCTTGAGCCTAGGCCACTGACGTGGGCTAGGTCTAGTTGCCTAGTCCAGTGTCCCGGTCCGGCCCAACCAAGCTTGTTTTGTTTTAATTTTTTAGTTTTCATTAAAAAACAATTTAATTCCTATAAGGCCCGACCTACTGGATTTAACACTAGGCCAGGGCGCCGAGCCCAAGAGTATCAGGCCTCTATGGTCCTAGACTCCGATGGACTCAGCCCGGGCACTCATAGAAAATACTCATAAGCATATGGTATATGGTTTTTCCCCGAGGGAAGATGTGTACACAGTCCACCTGTGGGAGTACAGCTCCAAGTAGACTTCCCAATTTATTTTTTTTATCTACCAGTCAATCCAACCTAAACTACCCAATTTTTTTTATTATAACATCAATTTCACCGAAAGTAAGGTGTTCTTTTCCGAAAGAGACCTCAACGGTTCAACCGACCACTCCATTTTTTTTTTAAAAAATTGATTTGAAGACACTTAGTTTTGCAATTTGCATTCAATTTGCCGACATGTTGCGTGCAAGCAGTATCACATCCGTTTTGATTAAATATATTTATTGGGTGTGGTTTGCATAAGCTTGCAATTTTAAACAATCCAATTAAGGCGCTATCTCTAAATTTTATCATAAATATAATTTTGATATAAAAATTTATTAAAATGTTTTGAGAATTTATTTTTATCTTTAATTATAAAATTTTAAACTTTAAAAATAATTCAAATCAAGTAGATCTATAAATAAATAAAAATCTTGAAAATAGATGGTCTATATAATATATTATAAAATACACTATTTTACGGGTTTAATTTTTTTTTCTTTTTTTTTTCATATTCATACATCTCAATTCCGAGATGGTTAATTAGAAGGTCTTCCAATACCTAATCAACTTTTTATGATGAATTTTTGGGGTGCTTCTTTAATCTTGTATTTTAAAGGTGCAACCTCGTATAAATTTTGTCCCTATTTATTTTGTACTTATCATAGACAACTCAGCCTTTTGTACTTATCATCGACAACTCAGCCTTACCTAAGCTTTGACTCTTTCGTTGGGGGTCACCAACCCATGGTGGGCAACTCGTGCGCGCAAATAATATTATTTTATTAAAAAGTTTCAAAAAGGTGCCTTGTGTACGAGCTCCAATTTTCTTTTAATACAGTTTTTAAGTGTGGTTTTTTTTTTTTTTGAACTTTTAAGAGTTTTTTTTTATGTTGTTATAAACCTAGTCTCTACTTTCACTTTTATTTATGCAATGAATATCCAAAAAATGAGGTAAGTAAAAAATGAGGTAAGTAAAAAATGAGGTAAGTAAAAAATGAGGTCAAAGTTGACTCTTGAATAATCCAGGTAAATAACATAAAAAATGATAAGTGCACAAGAGAACTATATGGTAAGAGAAACTTACAATCAGTTAAGAGTTCATTGGATGTGAAATTGGATGGTAATGCATCTTGTTGATGAGTATGAAAAATCTTCTTGCAAATTTATGACCGCATCCTAATTGTCTGAGTTTAGATTTTAGGGCTGGCAATATTTAGCCCTTATTATAACTTATTACACAAATAATAAAGGGATATAAGTATTCGGCCCCAAAAATAGAGTAATGAAAGGATTTTCTGCTCTTGCGGGAGCAGACTGTTCATTTGCTCCCTTGAGTTAAACTCTTCCTCATAGGTTTTTTTGGACTTCAAATTGCGGGGATATAATATTTAGAACCCAATAACCTAACTTAAAAAAACAAGGAATTGATCAAATTACTCATGAAAGATGAACTATTTTAGACTTATCCATGGATTTTGTTTAGTTTCAAATCAACTATAAAAAACACATGATCTTGACTTGGAATAGTTGCAAATGGGTATAACATTAAATAATTCATATTTTATATGCATTTTGATAAATTTTTCAAAAAAAAAAAACAAGCCTAATTATTTATGTGCATCAAGAAAATTAACATCTCAAGATTGAACAAGAACAATCCAATTTGAAGTGGGGAAGATCTAAAAGTTCAACAACTTAAAATCCAATTTTTTTTATTAAAAATGGTGATATTTAAATGGATCCCAAAATTCAAGATAAAAAAAAGAAGAAGTGCTTCAATTTTACTCTTTTGCGGAAGGGAGTTGTTGTACATATGCTCATACGGGAGCACGCTGGACGCACAAAAAGGGTAAGTAAAAGGAAATATAAAAGTTTACCATATCAGTTTCAGTTTTCTAATATTCAAATAAAGTAACCAAACTGTCATATTCATACCTACTTTAATGGAGATTTGTTTGACCTTATCTACTTCAAAACTATAAGGGTAGAAACGGCATTGAATCAATACTCATGGGCAAATTAGTACTCATTGCCCTATTATATAGCCGTGCTGCTGAGTGCTCCAAGCGTTACGCCTCGAGTAATTCGAAAATGGAAGTTGCACTTGTCTCTCGCTCTGCAACAAGGTAATATCAATCACCATTTTTCTTATTTATTTATTTATTTATTTATTTATTTTTTGTTTATCTGTGTTTATGTTATGTATTTGTAATATTTGTCCAATTAATTCCATTTTTTCATACATGGGTTATTTTTACGAGTGATTTAAAGCTTGATTTCTTTCTTCTCAGATGGCCTATTGCATGCAATCGATTCCAAGAGGAGTCTCCCTGCTTCGATTTATCTTCATCAAGTATGTAAAATTTTTCCATATTCTTTTTCATGTAATTTAATTTATGAATTATTTATCAGGGGTCGATCATTGAGCTTATTCGTTTTATTAATGTTTTTGGACAACTCAGACTTTCCGATTTCTTGTTTATATTTTTTGTTTTTGGCTTAGGTTATTTTGTAATTTCAAGTAGCAATTATATGTATCTAAAAGCGAATTATTATAAATTTGATTATTTACTCAGAAGATGGGTCATCTTATAGAAATGGAAAGACAAGAATTAGTCATTTGGAAACCAGGAAAAAAAACAGGAGATGTAAATTTTCACAGAAAGAAAGGAAGGAAAAAAATGAGAAAAAAATACATAAAAAATAAGAAGATAAAAAGGGATTCGAATTAAGCAGGCAAAAAGGCAATCGGAGTGATCTGACTCCATATGAAGTTGGGATTTGTGGTCTTGGACTTGAATTGAGTCCTCCATGGACATGGATCTCAATTCAATAACAAAGAGGGAGTATAACATATATGCTGTGTATGGTGTACAACACACCAGTGGGACACCCACCCTTTGTTTTCAAGACGGACTGTGGAAATGGACCATGGTTTCGGAGTTGAATGCCCGTTCTTGGAACTGTGGTTCATTTTATTCATCACTCTTGAGAATGGATGCCGTGGATGTGTATTGTGCACCATACAGGGGATGTGCGCAGCATGCTCTCCCAAAACCAAGTATCTCACTAGGCCCAACTTAACGAGGGGTTGAGTTGGGTTAACTTGTATCTATTTGATGTTTATTATAGTAAATAAAAAGAGATCAAAAAAATAAAATAAAAAGAGATTGATCTTGAAGCAGTAGGCTATGTTTTGTTTGAAAGACACTTCACTATTAGATTGGAGTGGGACTTCGTGCTTTCACTCAATAATTGATTTAGAAGGCTGTGAGAAAGTTTTTTATTCTTGATAGTTGTTAATTTTAACTTGGTTACATTTCTTGATCTTATTTTTACTTTATTTACTAATGTATAAGCCCAAATTGGTTAATACATATACTCTGGTTTATAAGGGTTTGTATTTGTTGTTTCTTACTTTATACGTATCTTCTTTTTATTGGATACACAAATTTTCTAATGCTTAGTTTGTGTCTGATTGTTCTCTTTCAGCGGGAAACTTGTCGTACGTGAAGAGCACTCGTGCCCAATGGCCGAGAGCTTCACCTCCTTTTTCTCTACATGTCAAAGAAACTCCGCTAATGAGGGGCCAAAATGGTTATTTAGATCGCAAGAGGGATCCATTCAAGGTGATTGTCCCTTTCTCTACACTGTTGTCAGGGGTTATTTTTGCAGTAACTCTGAATTGATAACTCAATTTTTGCCATAGGTTTTCTCAAGTCGTACTCAGGAAATGACTCTGCTCGAGGCAAGGTATGCAACATGTTTTAATATTTTCAAGGAATGTTTGCTTTTAAGCAGAATTGCGCTTTAATGGGAATCTTGCTTCGCTTGACTCTGGAATTGGGTCATATAAGGTTGTTGCGTTGCGGTGTTCTTATTTAATATGCAGGAGCAGACATGAATAATTGGAAAACAGGCTAAGAAAACATGGTTCTGTTTCTAGAGTTATATTGTGTGCTAAAGTCACTCTTTGGCAGCTGTTGGACAATTGTACCTTTTTTCTATTTTTGTTATTTTTCTTATGTTAAGGAAGTTCCCAACCTTGATGGGATTGATTTGGTTTTGTTGACTTTATTTTATAAGCGATGAAAGTTTTGGCTAGTAGATTGCATATTACTGTCTTCATGGTGCCCCTTCTCAAAAATTTATTCTCATGGTTTGGGTTCTCAAGGTTTGTTGCTCTTAAGGGATTCATCCTCCTTTATGATGAGAAAAGTACTTACATTTGCCTGGTGTTCTTTACTATTGAAACTTGCATTGAAAATTCTTTTACAACATAGAGTGCTCCTCATCCATTTTGCTCTTGGTTGTGCACTAATACCTTATTGCTTCTGTATCCTTTGAAGGTCAATGGATGAAATTTATGCTGCACTGGCTGAGCGACTGCTTCCTTCTGCAGCAACCTTAAGTAATCCTTGTTCAAAGTAAGTTTCCAATCTATTCAATGATTTATAATAAGTTATTTATTTATTATATTACTATTGTTGTTATTATTATTTTTGGGGGAATCAGCAGTTGGATTCGAACATGGGATGTAGTGTTGCAATCGTCGGCATTGTAACCAATCAAGCCCATTCCCTAATCCCAAGAGTGATTTATTTTTTCACACTGTAAGACATTACGAACAAAAAACTGTGTTTCTGTTCTGCATATACGGGGGGGCCTCCCTAGAGGTGTATGTTCACCAATATCTGACAAATAAGTTACAGATTCAGAGGGATGGAGTTGACTTCATCACTATGGTTTTCTGCCTACTATATTGCAATAACTAAGATTGCACTATTTCATGAGTACTCGATAAATGAGTATAGCAGTGATTTCCATGCTAGTTTATGAATTGAGCTAACACTCTTTGAAATAATATCTATGTCATGGATGTCATCTATTACCATCTGTTGGTTTGGAAAAGGAAAGGGAAAACAAGAATGACAATTAGATGAGAGAAACAATGTAGGACACGTATTAATTATATTAGGAGAAAAGGAAGCAGGAGGGTAGAGAATAACAATGGGAAGGTAGAGAGGGAGAAGGGGAAAGGGGAAAGGGGAAAGGGGAAGGGAAAATCCATGCAGGAATAAATATCTCTGCATTTTAAGACCATCATATTTTGTTCATTTTGTGAAATTTTAGTACATGCTTGTTCTCATTCCTTTTTCCTCCCCAACCAAATCATTAGTGTGGTACTTTCTTCCTCTTTTACCACATATTTAAGAGCTCTTCTCATTTCCCATATCTAAAGATTGAAAACCACATATTTGACAGGTACATTGTAGGTGTAGCTGGTTCTCCTGGTTCAGGGAAGTCCACAATAGCATCCGAAGTTGTTGACCGTCTAAATAAGCTTTGGCTCCAAAAAGCGCCTAGGATGGATTTACTGGTTGAACCTACTGATGTGGCCATAGTTGTTCCCATGGATGGGTTTCACCTTTATCGTTCCCAGCTTGATGCAATGGAGGTTGGCCTTTTGTTCCTTTTTGAGTATTCTGAACTTTTGTTGTTCATCCATGGTGTGCCTAAGAATTCAAGTCATACTTTTTAGACTTCATGCATTTGAATGCTTCTGAAGATTTTAAATAGGATCATAGTTTTTCATTGAGATACTTCTAATTATCATTGCTTCATTGCTGTCTTATAATCGGAATGATCATTGCTTTCCTATGACCCCAGGATCCAATGGAAGCACATGCAAGAAGAGGAGGTTAGTGGTTTTATACTAGGTCATATTTTCTCATGATTCTCGAATTGGCAGAACAATATTGATCTTGCCCTTGTTTCCCCTCAGCTCCATGGACATTTAATCCATCTCGACTTCTAAAATGCCTGAATACTTTAAGAAGAGAGGTGCGTTTTGCTGTGGTTTTCTTTACTATCTTTTGAATAAAAAATCTGATAATTAACATTGTCACAAGTTTTGGTTTATATCTTTTCCAAAGTAGCTTAGTAGGAAGTTCTGCTCTTTTTCTGTACTGTTTTCTTAGAGGTACTTAATTCGTGCAGGGATCAGTTTATGTGCCTTCATTTGAACATGGCGTTGGAGATCCTATAGAAGATGCTGTTTTTGTGTCTCCTATGTAAGTTACTAGTATCTTCATGGGCTTGCTCTATGCATACGAACAGTATAGTTTCTTCTTTTATTTTCTGATTTAGACCATTCTTATTTTTGCTTGGTGTAATGCATTTATGGTCTACTCATCCAAAAAATAAATGCATTTATAGATTTTTATTTTTCCTGCTAACTTGGATGTCTGTTCCTGAAAACTAGGATAGTTATGTGACTGGGGCAGAACAAGCTCCTGGTATTATATATTTAGAATCTCATGTAGTCTTCATCCAACTTAAGGAAAGCATGTTTTGTACAATATGGTGATCTCCAAAAAAGGGAATTGTAGTTGTTTGGTCAGGTAATTGACAGGCAAATGGGTATCTGCCACAATCATCTTATCATAATCGATATGCATTATAATATGAGAGCGAATTGTTACGCATTTTTTCATATCAGTTGGTGGTTCAGCTTCAAGCGGATTTCTTGTATACATATGTATCAAGGATATCTATATAATTGTTTAGGTCGTTGCTTGTACTTTCTCCTCGATGGGAATACTAACCATCATGTACTCCACACCATACACCAGGGGTTTAAGTCATCATTTTATGAATAAGAGTCAACTTTAGTAAGTGCTGGATTTATTTGGATCCTTTTTATGTTGCGGAAGGGCATGGCGGTACATGATTAGGGAATCCTTTTTCCTAGGGTGAGCTTTGCTTCTTCAATGACTATGTGGTCAAGTGATGTGATTTTCTTGGTAATATTGATACTGGGATTGTGAGGAATGAAGCTGCACGACCCCTACTTTTGTTTTCATGGGAATTATGCTGGATTATGAAATTGAATAAACCATATTTATGTCATAAAATATTTATGTGCCAATGCAACTAGCCTTTGAATGTGCTACTGCCTTCGAGGAAAGCATAATTTTCAGGGATACAGCTTCATGTGAAAATTATAGTGTGGGTTATTCACTTTGCTGTTATGACCGCATGTATGATCTTGAGTGAGAAGTATCAAAATATGTTAAAACCCATGGTCAACATATAAGGGTGGATCGGTTGAGCAGCCTGGACCCAGGCTGATTAGGATGGGGCTCAGTCCTCTATATTAGTCTGCTAGGGCTCGGACCGAAGAAATCAGTCCAGATCTCTTAGCATGTGGGACCCAGCTCTGGGCCCTTGAGCCCCCACAAGCCTTTATGATTTTCATGTCTTTGATGTTTGGAATCATGTAGGATTCAGGCTTGGGTCCGTCTTGGTTAAAGTGATGACTGTTGCAGCATTACATTCCAAATTAAGATCCTATCAATGGACTTCCCCCAAAAAAAAAAAAATGTGCTGGTACGGCACCATAAAAATAGCTGAACCTGCACTTGAGCTCAGGAAGGCCCAAGTATTTTTAACCTAATATAGATGGGAGTTTAGTTGAAGGATGGGGACAAACTAGTCCTTTTGCAAACCAGAATACCATGTGTGGTGTGTTCCTGAGTGTTCTAATATCCCTACAAGGGTTTATAAATCATATTCAGCAGGAGATTAATGCATAAAGCTCTAAAAAATTCCCTACAATGTATTTGTCAGATAACCTGGATCTTCTCCTCGTCTTCTTTTCTTCAGAACAATGTGCCATTTTTGCCTGCTAGTTATGGAAGTAGTAACTGTGTGGGTAAATGTTTTAAGTGTTTCAATTATGTTAAAGGAGATTATTATAACTGTATACATGAATAATCCCTTTGTTGAAGCATATTCAATCTGCAGTAGCTTCGTGATTTTAGACCCAAAAAAGGCTGATATGTGTCTTGGATACCTGACATTGCATTTAAGCTGCATACTTAAATGTCCACAAACTACCTGACAGTGTTTTCCATTTGAGTGATCTTATTAAAGGATAACTCCAAGCAGCATGCTTTGGTGAATATTGTTTAGTTTAAGATGAATTGAGGATCCATTCAAGAGTGTAAAAATACTCAAGTTTACACATACTCTGTCTTTCTCGATTGTGGCAGGCACAAAATAGTAATAGTGGAAGGAAATTACTTGTTCTTACAAGATGGGGTATGGAAAGAGATCTCTTCTTTATTTGATGAAAAATGGTAATATTTCAGTCCCCTGAACTCTGTTTTACATTTTCTCTTAGATATATTTTTCTGACATTTTGAACCCATCTATATCATGTCATATGGCTGGGGCAGAGGGTGGCAGAGGAGCAATGTCTTATTGTCCCTATTTCACAATCATTTGTTTTTGTAAGAAAAAGCATCTTTTATACCGGGTATATGAAATACTCCTATTTCACGGGTACCTTTCAACAAGCAGTGAAATACTGGTATTTTAAATCCTAAATTCTTTTTGTGATTCAGAAATACTGGTATTTTACATCCCATATTCTTTTTGTGATTCGGTGAGATGATGGGCTGCACCACAGTGATTCGATGTTGCTGTGGCTATGCTTAAATTGGACCCATTTAAAATACCCTTATTTGAGAACTTCCTAAATGGATTTGATGAAACAGGTGTTTCAAATGCTCATATTGCAAAATACACTTTATTTTTTCCTTTTTAAATCGTGGTTCTTGCAGAGTGGCAATATCAACAGCATTGGCTCTCTAATGCCCTCTGGAAATATCATTAGTTGTCCGTTTGACATTCTTTCTTGCAATCATGTCGGGTATGGTGACATCGGTTTCCAAATGTTTGAATTTTGAAAACAATCATCGTTTTTCTCTTGAAAAGCTCTCATCATCATCATCATCATCATCATCATCATGATATCGTATTGGGTCATTTTCATTGATATATAGTTACTATTGTTGAAGGTTTGTTGATGTGGATATCGATGTTGCTATGCGGCGAGTTCTGAAAAGACATATATTAAAGGGTGTGTATTTCTACAAGAATTTTATGCTAATATAAGGCATGAACTCTTGTTTCCATAGTTACTTTCATTATCTTTTTTGATGCACTTTTTAACACTTGCCTGGTACCATTCTAGCAGGAAAAGCACCAGATGTTGCTAAATGGCGGGTATGCTTCATTTATCTGCAATTTAGGATTCCTTTCGTAATATTTCTCTAAATATTATTTTTAATTTCTCTCTTTTTGTGACAAAACCAGGTTGAGTACAATGACAGGCCGAATGCGGAGCTTATCGCAAAGACAAAAACATATGCAGACATTATAATTCGCTCTGTGGAGTTAGATAACTAATTTATATTTGCTTGAAAAAAGATGCAAGTGAAAATTAGCTATTTTTGTCGTTGATTCATAAGTTTACGATTGTTACATTGTAAACATTCAAAAGCAGTGACAAATTAATAAATCAGTCACTGCTAGAAATAAGTGTTTTTTTTTTTTTCAATTTTTTTGGCATTATGTATATATGTTCATGCATGATTGACTCTGGAATTTATTGGCATTGGATCCTAGAATGTTTTAATGAATTTCTCTTTTATGCTTAAGCTCTTACGTTGAGGTCAAAATTGGGTGAAGATATATGTCTTCTGCTAAAGTCAAAATTGCATAATCGGGTTTAAAATGCAATGAGGTTAAAATGTATAACCAATGTTTAAAGTATAATACAGTTTCAAAGAAGGAAAATTTGATTTTCACCAAATATTGAACTTTCTCCTTCACATCAAAGATTGGATCTTGAGATGTGAGATGATGTTGTTCTTTCTGATGGCCGCTCTTGGAGAATCGAAGATACCATTGGGTTGTAATGAAATTCACCCTAAGATGTAATAAAACTCAAGGAATCACTGGGTAGACTTCTCCGAGTTGCTTGAGAAAAGTTTTTGGAAACCATTGGAACCATGCTGATTTGCCCTTGAAAAGATTGAGCTTGGATTAAGTTTCGAGTGGGAACGAATTTGAAGAAATTTGGTTTAAGAAGTTCCAATGTACAAGAATTACTTGGTTAACAGTGGTGAAAAGTCACCGGTCTTAATTAATCACGGCCCAAAAGAAAATACGTGCAAGAACAACAACTTGGCTTCAAATGGGATACATATAATAGCAGTGTTTTAAAATCTAGATGGGTAGGGTGGGTCGTTTACCCTACAGATCCGTGTCAGATCGTTGGATTAGCAATTGGGATTGGTATGGATAGGTCCGTAAGAATGATCTAGAAAAACGTTAAAAATAGATAAAATAAAATAAAAATTAAATTTTTTTTTTATGCCTTGTAAACTCTAAAAGAAAGAAAAAGATAAGGAAAAAGTTTTAAAAAGGTATCAAGCCAGGAACCATGCTATCCCGAATAGCAGTTTAACTGCGAGTAATTACTATTCAAATCGGTGATTCGGATTGAGAATCATGATTTTGAAAAACCGTATAGAAGCATTGGATGACCAGAGTGAAAATATATTGGCTAATGAACAATGGATACATGACAGTCATGCATTCATAGATGTTATTTAGAGTGTCAGGTTGGGAGAGAAACTGAAGCCAAAAGCTTTAAAACAGTGGTGAAAACATGCACTGATCAAAGGTCATACTGTACACCTGAATGTATTGCTGAACACATGGCAAAGATCTTGGCTAGCAAAGAGATATTAGCTCTTGGAAGCAAGTAGAGAGAGAGAGAAACTGAAACCTAAAATCAAGGCTTATACAGGAATTTAAACACCAGAAAACCCTTAATTGCTCTCTCTATGTAAAGCTCCCTAAAGGGTCATAGATAAGTTTGTCTAGGATTTAGCTGTCTCCTAAGTCATATATTGTTTCATCCAAACAGACCCATACGAGCTTTCTTTGTTTGCGACAACACATAAATTTTCGCCCATAAACTAAAAAGACCAACTCCATCTCTGTTTATAATGTAAGGTGTCCATAGAGAGTGACCCCCTTTCATGTTTCCTCAGCTCCTTTATCAGAAAGAAAAAGGAAGCATAAGGAACACAATTACATGATTTTTTTTTTTTTTTGTTGTAAGTAGTCATATTCTTAGTCGCCACAGTTGACGAACTGGTAGTTGACCTTGAGATGTCCTTGCCTTGGGCAATGTCCCTCCCATTGGTGTCGAGCTGCCTAAAGACGCCTTCTTCCAAATCGAGTCCACCGTTGCTGCATTGATCCACGATCCTCACTGTTCTTTCAGCACCCGTTGCTCGATTTGTCACCTAAACAAAAAAAACAGAAGAAAGAAGTAAGTCTCTCAGCAATAAATATTAGAACTCTCTGGTTGAAGTGCTTTCCGGACATAAAGCCTAGGCTTTATAAAAACTTCATAGTTTTTCAAAAGGTGCAGTTTGTTTGTGTAGAGCTGAGTAAAGCGCATGTCGAGAAATATGTTTCAATATTAAAAATCTTTGTGATAGTCTTAAAATATGTTTTCATTATTAATTATAAAATTTAAAGCTTCAAAAACAGTGTAGCAAATATATGAAAATCTTAAAAATATTGAAATTAACTGTCCTAAAATGCATTATAAGATACGCTATTTCAAAAACTTGAAATCCATTTTTTTCTCATGTCCATGCATCATGAGGTCAAGATGATCAATTTGAGGATATTTGAGCATCAAAACAACCTCTTCTAGTGAGATTTTTGAGGTGCGCCCTAATTTGATTGTTTAGAGCCTCACACTTATATGAACTTTTTTTTTTTTAATTGTTCAGTTGAGCCCAATACTTGTTCTTTTATTTTTTCGTTAATAAAAATAAAGGGTGGCTTGAAATCTATTTTTTTGGTCTCTTTTTTGTCTTTTGGTGAGTCATAGGCATGTGTTTGGCAGTGTGGGACTAAGCTCAGAGAACTCATAATGGTTTAAGATGGGAGATAGCTTTTAGATTTTTATTGAAATTTATGGTTTCAGGGCTAGATTAAAGAACTTATATTTTTCTATTTCCTAAGTGCGATTCCTACTGTTGAATTACTCAAAAAAAAAAAAAATCTAAAAATCTAAAACAAAGACAAATAAAAAAAAAAAAAAAGTTTACATAAGGTTGACATCTTAGAATGTAGGATTAAGGTGCACTTTTAAAATCCTTCAAAGAAGATTGTTTTGATGTTGGAAAAACATCTAATTAATCATCTCAAATATATAGATATTGAGAAAAGCTAGGGATTGACCCTAGCTCAGCCCTAGTCCCTATAGGGCCCGCCTAAGCTTTAGCTGACTTGGATCAGTCCGAAGAGGCCCTGGCCTAGGCTAAATACAATCCAATAAAAAAAAAATGCAGATATGAGAAAGGGCTAGGTTGGGCTGGGCTGAACCGAGCCGACCCTGTTGCGGCCATGGCCCGGTCTGGCCATAGTTTTTTTTACTGTTGGGACAATTGGGCCAGGCCCATTGTTAGGACAAATATACGTATAATCCATATAAAATACAATTATAATAAAACTCAGTTCCGAATTCCTATGAATTTATGAAAAGGTAATAGAATGAAAATTGTGTGTTTCTGCTTGAGCACTCTTATACTTTACTCCCCTTCGGGTACAGGACCTATTGAGGAGTATTTTCTTGACCCTACATTTTGGAATTCAATTTATGATCTTTTGAAAAAGGGGTTCATATAAGGAGGTTACAATTACTTAAAACCATCCAATGTGAAATCTGATAGTTTGGATGTATCACAAAGTTTTAAAAAATATCTTTTGAAGTTTAAACTTGGTCAATGAAATAAATGCATATACCTAATTTCACATTTAATTGTCAAGATTAATTGTGATCGCCTTGTACAAAAGATAAATGACCTTATTGTATACTTTTCTTTTGAAAAAATAGCCTCTACTAAATTTTAGAATTTTTTTTCCAAGCACATGTTTAATACACAATGTTTTCTTCTTCTTTTTCTTTTTGGTTTTTCTAAGGTTGATTGCTTGATTAAGGTCCCTACATCCCCGAAATTTTGGGTCCTAAAAGTAATTTAAGATTATTTTTCACCCGTGAGAATATAAACTTTTAGGGCACATTTGGCTCCTTGTGTTGCCAATCCCAGGTTTTGAATCAAAACCTTATTGTGTGGCTATGTTAAAACTTGGTTACTCAAACGTGGTTTATTTGGATGGCTTTGAATAGTACAAAGGTTATGGAAATCTCATATTTGGATCATCTTTTTGTATTACCCGGTTTGCTATTAGGGGTCATTTAGTATGCGTGACTGTTTATCAGGAAAATATGTACACGAAAAGTATTTGCATATGCGGAGAATTTATAGGAAAATATTACTTAAGCATACTTTTTCTCATGTTTGGCAAACACAATGGGTAATATGCACACTGAGAGAAAACACATCAAATTTGAAATTTTGAGATAGTTTTTCTATCGAAAAATTAAAATTTGATATAGTTTCTCTGTCTAAATTTTGTGAGATAATTTATGTTTTAAAATTTAAAATTTAAAATTTAGAATAGCTGACAACTTCTCTCTCAAATTTTTGTTTTTATAGTTTTTGTATCTAAAAAGTTTCAGGTGGTTTCTCTCTCTACAATTTTTCTCAATAAAATTTTAAGATACTTTCCATCTCTAAACCTTAATCTTGAGATAGTTTTTCTCTCTAATTTTTTTAGGTAATTTATCTCTTTAAAATTTGATATAGTTTTACTCTCTAAAATTTTAAAAGTTTGTCTACAAAAAGATCATTTATCATTTGTACAAAGAAGTCGTAGCCGCTTTTGTTCCTTAAATTTCAAAATGGGCGGTTGTAAGAGTGCCATTGAATAGAAGAAAAATTCCAAAACAAAATTCTCAAACATTGTGACTCTCCCAAAACCATCAAATTTGACATCTAATGAGTAAGAATAGTTGTGAGCTCCTTGTAAAAAAAATAAATGGTCTCTTTGTAAACAATCCCAAATTTCTTTCTCTTTCTAAATTTTGATATAGTTTCTCTTTAAAATTTTAATATACTTTCTCTCTCTTAAACTTGAAATTTGATATACTAAAATTTTTGAGATACTTTATCTGTCTAAAAAATTTCAAGTTGTTTCTCACTCTAAATTTTGATATAGTTTGTCTCTCAAAATTTTTGAGATGGTTTCTCTCTAGTGAAATGCCCTTGCTTGTTATCAGTTCTAATCACAAAGAAGGGTAATTTGGGTAATCTTCAAGTTTTTTATTTAAGATACTCTCTCTTCAAAACTTAAATTTTGAGATAGTTTATCTTTCTATTTTGTTTAGGTAGTTTCTTTCTCTAAAATTTTAAGATTCTTTCTCAATCTAAAGCTTGAAAATCGATATATTTCTACTTTTTAAATTTTTTTTAGTTAGTTTCTCTTTCTAAAATTTGATATACTTTATGTTTCTAAATTTTGAGATATTTTCACTATCTAAAACTTGAAATTTTGAAATAATTTTTCTAAAAAGTTTCAGGTTGTTTCTCTATCTAAAATTTTAAAATTCATTCTTTATCTAAAACTTGAAAATTGATATACTTCATCTCTCTAAAAAAATTTTTAGGTACTTTCTCTTGCTAAAATTTGATATATTTTATGTGTCTAAAATTTTGAGATACTTTCACTCTCTAAAACTTGAAATTTTGATATAGTTTTGTGAACGGTCTCATTCCTCTGAAGAGACTCGGTGTCCATTAATTATATGGATATACATATTTATTTTTCATAGACAGATTATAGATGAAAAAATATAAAAATAAATCATAGTTTCCTATACTATACCCAGACTTACCATAAATACAAGATATTGTATCTACCATTTCTAAATATACACCAAATTACCCAGTTACATTCGTTTCACATTGCCCATCAAACTCAAGATGCTATGAAAGAGAGCAACTGGAGTTTGAATACTAATTGCGGAAACGAGTTGTTGGATCTTTAGGTGTATAGCATGACCAGTAAAAGGATCTTCTTATACATAGCTAGACCAGTAAAAACAGTGGTTGTGTGACCAATAAAAGTAATGGTTATCATGCTCAGGTTGCTTGATCAACAGGCACAGAAAGTAGAGGCAGGGATCAACAAGCCTCAAGAACAGATAAATTTCATATCTTCACTTAAGACAAAAACAATTTAGAAAAACCGAGAAAAATAGAATGGCACTTGGAAGAGCCAACAGATTCAATAGCTCTGTAGATCGAAATAGACACGATTGAGAAACAGAACAAACAAACTCGATCATACAATAAATTTTAAAATTTATTTTATTTGCGACCGAGAGTTGGTTGCATATCAGGATTTTCAGATGATCTATTTGACTTCAAATCTGGGTTTCTTCATATTTTTATTTTTTTTGGAAGCAATTTTGGGAGGTGGTTTGTCAAAGGCGAAGATCAGACTGTTCAAAATGGAACAGAGAGATAAAAAGAAGACTTTTCAAAGAAAAGTTAATAAAAGAAAAGAGAGGCGTTGGGAAGAACGAAATAATGGAATGGCACCAAACCATTAATTTCGAGCGCCGTACATAGAGGGCTTCTCTCATAATCCGGAGAGAGAGAACCTTCAAATAGATAGAACTAAGAGAGATAAAAACACTAAAAATGAGAGAGAAAGTCAAAGAACATTGCATTCGCAGAGTAGAGAATCAACGCACTTTGGAACTATCCCTTGGCTCTCAAATTTGGTGTAACAATAAGAGGAGCAGCGATCCATTGTGCATGGGTACAAGACACCAAACATTATACAGTGATCCGTTCGTTTTTGCTCAACAAACTCGGCTTGAAAATTAGCGAAAATGTTTAAGGGACAAAAAAATAGTCACACCTAATATGGATTTGGCTCTGATACCATATGAAGAGTCTCAAATTTTTTGAATAGACTCAGTGTCTATTAATTATATGAATATACAGATGAAGAAATTTAATAATAAATCACAATTTCCTATACTATACTTAGACTTACCATAAATACAAAATATTATATCTACCCTTCTTAAATATACATATTATAATATATACTTTTCATATTAACTAGGTGTACAATATATACTATCCTTCCACAAGTTTCTCTCTAAAAAGTTTTCCGGTTGTTTCTATCTCTGAACTTTGATATAGTTTTACTCTTTAGAATTTTAAGATACTTTCTCCCTCTAAAACTTGAAATTTGATATAGTTTTACTCTCTAGAATTTTAAGATACTTTTTCCCTCTAAAATTTGAATTTGAGATAGTCTCTCTCTAAGAATTTTTAGGTAGTTTATTTCTTTAAAAATTTTAAGGTATTTTTTCTCTGTAAAACTTGAAATTTGAGATAGTTTTTCTATTTTAAAATTTGATATAGTTTTTCTCTCTAAGATTTTAAGATGTTTTCTCTATCTAAAACTTCAAATTTGAGATAGTTTTTTTGTCTAAAAGTTTTAAAATAGTTTCTCTCTTTAAAATTTAATATAGTTTTCCTCTCTAAATTTTTAAGATACTTTTTCTAACTTAAACTTAAAATATGATATAATTTTTTTCTCTAAATTTTTTAAAAAAGTTTCTCTTTAAAAAATTTAGTAGTTTATCTCTCTAAAAGTTTAAGATATTTTCTTTCTCTAAAACTTAAAACTTGAAGTAGTTTATCTCTCTAATTTGTGGAGATGTTATGATGAAATTAATTATATTTAATAAATGTACAGCTCCAATGTGTGAAAATAGCATTATCATGAGTTGTATTCTATTGTATACTCTACATAGAGTCCTGTTTTGGATAAGCCAACTTTAGTTTTCATGCCAATAGGTGAGGGATCCAATGAGTAGAAACTTTAATGTAAGGAATTTATGTTATT